CGAAACAAGCCGTTACTTTCTCGAAACAAGAATTTTGTAATAAAGGCAGCAAAACAAAGCCACTTATAAATGGTTTATGTACCGAGCATGGCGTGAAGGTAACGGTAAATTATTACACGAGAGGGGTTTACTTTTAGTAACTTGGACTAGTAGTAGTAGTTCAAAATAATTACACAAGAAGGTATTTACTTTTAGTAGCTTAGACTAGTAGCAATGGCAGTTGTTCAAAATTATTACACAAGAGGGTATTAACATAACAGCAAATGCACAACGTTTCGACAAGGTTTTGTCATCATCATTGTTACGACAGCGGAAGTCACGTGACTCTGGTAACACGTAATGAGTATCTAGAAGGATCGTGTGTTTAAGTTAAAGTGACTGTGGAAATTCTGTGTATTGCAAAGTTGTATTGAGAAAGAATAAACTAGTTTTATTTAAGAAAGGAGTTGTATCGCTAAAGTTTCATCCGAAAGAAATTATATGGGAAATTAACAAACGAACACAGACGTAACCGTATTTACTTTTAGTAGCTTAGACTAATAGCAATGGCAGTAGTTCAAAATTATTACACAAGAGGAATTTACTTTTAGTAGCTTGGAGTACTAGTAGTAGTGAAAAATAATTACACAAGAGGGGTCTTATTTCATTTGATTATTAACACAGCCAGACATTAATACTGATTGTAAAATATCCAGTTTACTATACAACACATAATTTATTTTTTGCCTGATTATTGGTTGGTTGCGTGATTTCAGAAGGTACCTCTAAGTAGGCAACATCAAAACTTGCTTGTTAGTTGTAACAAATGCATTTTAATAAAGCAAGTAAATAATACATTATTTTGCTTCCAATACAACTTAATATAACACTAAATAACAAAGAATCTGAAAATTTCTAACTATTAGAATAATAATGCCTGTCTTTACAGATTGTGAAAAAAAAAGTTTTAATTTGCATATTTTTAAAACTATAATGATAAAGAAACAATCAAATAAATTTAGTGTAATGTATATTTTATAAAATCTCCTCGCTCTAGGTTTTCCAGATTACCCGTAACACTAACAAGGTGTTTGTTCGGTTTCTAATGGCTAACCAACATTTCGAAAATCTGGCATACTTTTCTATGGCACGTCATCCTTGTTTTTCTTTGTAATCCGACATAGTAACATTCATACAAAATTACTCACAATTTGAGATAAATTTTATTCTTACTGTTTTCCGAAACACAAGATTATTGTTATTGCATAAAATTTGGCGAATTAAACGAATAATTTAGAATAAAAATAAACTGCGATAATCACACGAATTATCAAACAAAAGTATCTAAACACAGAGGGCGTTGACAGGTGTGAGGCTTAACCTGTTTATTTTACTCCAAGATATTAATAATTATAACAAAAGACTGGAAAAGTTAACGCAAAAAAGCCAAGTTACTGCATAGCCTAAGGATTACTTCGCTAAGACTAACGCGTTGTACTAAAGCACACGGCCTTCCATTTCCCGTAAGTGATCTAACAGTGAACGTTTAACCTGACGTCACTATCCCTATAATGATTAGCATATGCTTTTGCCTAACGTGTTGAAATTTCTAAATCACATGATAATAATCTGATCGTGGTATCTGGTTATTTTGTACTAATTCTGATTGAACAGGATATTGAAACTTTCCACTAAAAATAAGGGCTTGTTTGCTTTACGAGACATCAAGAATTCAAAACACATTAATTAAATATAGAACTGAAACGCTTGAAATTGAGCAGTTCTTCTCCAAATAACGTACACTTTTGAAGTAGAAACACCTGCATAACAAAGTGTTTTAAAACGGTTCATTTCGTTCGTGTTCATTGTGAATCGAAGTTTTTCGAACTACCTAAAGACACACACATACGTATGTATGCATGCTGTAAAGATAATTATCAAGTTAAGATGCCGCCTTTAGATATTGAGTTAACACTACTGTTGCGTCATCGAGTC